ACGTGCAACTGGCAGCGTCGCTGCGGAGTAAACGGAGCCCGGTGCTGTCAGCCCTGCTTGTGCTGGGAGGGTGCCTGGGGCTGGTGGGCGCAGGGGTTTTGCCGGCGGATGCGTGCTGGTGGAAGTACCCCCGCAGAAATCCGGGGAGGGAGAGCGCCGCTCGGATGCTGCCGCGCCTGGGGTCGTATTCAAGCGTGTTTAAAGCCGTTGTTTGTCGACGCTCATCGCTTCGCTGCGAACTGAGCATCCCTGTCTTTTTCTCTGCAGAAGCCCGTCGGAATATATGGCTTTCAGCCAGACACATTCAAGAAGTTTCTGGCACTGTATCTGCATGGAGCTGTGTGAAATTCAGCTCAAATCAAAATACTTCACCAACTGTACCTGCTGCTTCTCTTTGCCAGAACCAGCATATAATTAAAGAAAGGTGGATTAATTTACTTTCAAAAATAAATTATATAGTTACTGAAAGTAAAATATTTTTTTTTAAACTAAGTTGTGCCTGAAGAAACTCTTTCATTTTTGGGGCTCATCTCTGCGTTCGGATTAGAGAGAGTCATCAAATGCATCCCCCCACACTCGTCCATCGTTGCCTAGAAAGAGCGTAAAGTAGTCATTATTCCTCTGCGCGGGTTCTGCTCGCGGTGGGCTCTGCACAGAGCCGGACTCAAACCTATTTTCCGAGGTTGCTTTGAGTACCTCTGAAGGCAGCGTGTGTGGAGGAGACTGACAAAGCTGGGGGGGGGGAGCCGCAGACGTCAGCCTTTTTCATTCTGCCTGGCTTTCGCTTCGCGTTACTCCTGGCTGCTCTGGGATGCGTCGTGCTCCCCTGCGCTTAGTTCCCGAAGCACTTGATCGGTGAGATGGCTTTGTTGGATCTATAGAACCGCCGCTCTTTCATCCCCACAATCCCGGATGAAGAGACCTAGCCGTTTTGGGAAAGTGGTGTAGAATGTAGCGTGAAACGGTGGTGCCTGGTAGCTGGCATTTGCTGCTGAAAACACAAAGGAAGAATTTCTTCCTGCCACGCGGAGTTAGCTGAGCAGGAAGCGTATTCGTTTAAAGGTGGGGGGATTAGTGTGGGCTTTGTAAAACGAAGGCTAAATTAGCTCCAGCCAAATGCAGAATGTTTTGCCATTCTGTGCTGGTACCCTCCAGCACATGGGAAGGAACAGGACAGCCTGCGCTATTTTAAGGTGTGGAAGAGCGCGTTTCCAAGAAATTCATCTCACTTCGGAGTCTTGTGTCAGAGACTGGTCTGTGCTTCGTGATCTTCTCTGACCATCTGGCTGTGTGTTCCAGCCTCCATCCATCAGGCAGCTGCACTCCGCAGGTTTCAGAAACCGGGCTTTCGCTAGTCAGATTCGAGACCAGCGGTTGCACCCGGTAGATTGGGATGCATCGTCTGCAAGTTCAATTAACAAATCCCTCAGCAGTGAGGAGAAGATGCTTGAAAGGGAAATAATCTAGTCAGCGTTGCGTTGGGCTAAATCATGTGAATTCTGCCTGCTCAAGGGATGCCTAATTCAGCTCATCTATTTAAATCTCTTCAGATCTGTAATTTGCGCCCGGTTATTTAGGAATATATTTCATACGCCCGTGCTCTGTGGAGACTGTTGCAGTAGGTGTGTCTTTCTGGGGCTGCTGGCTCTGCTGTGTCACACGGACTCTGCTGCCCAGCGCTAGGCAGCAGCCCTCGCAGCGCTGACGTTCCATGGCCCTGCCGGCTTTGGGTTGTTCCCTGTCCTGGGGAGGGAACCCCGCGGGGCAGCCAACCACCGCGTCAGCGTTCCCAACCGGAGCGGTTTCACCGGGGAAGGGTGGTAGGAGAGCGGCTGCGGTGAAGAGGGGACAGGGAGAAATGAATGTGGGAATCTGTGTAGATGGTGTACGGTGGGAAAAAGCCAAAGTCCCTTCATGTGCTTTTACTTCTCAGCAAAGACATCTCTGTTTATTAGGGACCAGGCTGCCCAGGGCAGCGGTGGAGTCCCCGTCCCTGGAGGGGTTCAAAAAATGTGTGGATGGGGCACTTCGGGAAGTGGTTTAGCAGGCGTGGCGGTGTTGGGGTGACGGTTGGACCTGATGATCTGAGAGGTCTTTTCCAACCTTAATGATCCTATGATTAGGACAGGCAGTAGAAGAGGAGAAACTAAGTGAAACTAAGACAAAGCACAAGCACAGGGTGGGATGGATGAGGGCAGAACAGGCCATTTTGAAAAAGGGCAACAAGACATGGCACAGTCAGCAGGGCGATGAAGCTTCAGCAGGTTACAAGAGGCGTCAGATGCCGCTCGAGATGAGGGGACCATGCACAAGCCCAGACCACGTCCGTGGTTTCCTCAGGGCGCAGCTGGTCTCGCCTGTGGTGATGGGGAAGCCATGCTCGCGTGTTGCTGGAAGAAGGAGCTTGTCCTTGTCCAGGGTGAGCTCCTCTGAGGTCCCGGAGGGGCACTCACGGCGGGCAGAGTGGGGCTCCCAGCTCGTCTCCTGGGATGGGTGCTCAGGCGTGGTGGAGGTGTGGGGTCTGTGAAGCTCTGCAGAGCAGCCCCCTGCCACGGACAGCCGGGCACGCGCGCGTGGTGTCCCGCTGCTCTTCCCGAGCTCGCTACGCATCGTTCAGTTCACCCGCTCGTTCCTCCGGTATGGCTGGCTGGGACTGGCCCAGCGGAAGGAGGTGGGCCCGAGAGCAGGACACAGAGGCACATCCGAGTTGGCATCAATAAATTATAAATGCTCGTCAGCAGATGAATGGCATTACCTCTGCACGGACCCAGGGCCAGGCATTAACTTTTCATGAACGGCAGCCGGGGAAGCAGAACACGTGAGAACGGGACCTGACTCCGCGGGCGGCACTGGCTGTGCCAGCGAGAACACGCCGGAGCCCTCATTGTTCAGATCCTCCTCCTGCTTTTAATTTAAGGAAAGCCGATGGGGGAGACGATTATCCCTCCGGCTGGGCTCCGGAGACGTTTCGAGGAGGGAACTTGGCAGTTTCTCGTGGAGGCGTTTGTACAATTAGCCCGTAGCCCGTTAAGACCCAACGGGAAGGGTTTCTCTGGGCCCCGCAATGACAACACGACAGGCAGAAGCGCTGCGCGTTGCTCCGGCCAGCTGAGCGGTGCCTGGCCGGGCAGCGTGGGCAGGAGCTGGGGGGCCGGAGGTCCTCATCGACATCAGCTGATTACCCTCGGAGGTCACGTTTCCAAATGGTGAACAGCACGGAGGGACGTGATTGCCTGGACCAAAAACCAGCGTGGGGGCACGGCCGCAGGCCCTGCGCGAGGACGTCTGCGGCGTTCACCTGGAGGCAGAGGTGTTTGCACCGCTCCATGCCCCGCCGTTAATTACATGTTAATGGGCTCTGCGGGCAGGCTGATTTTTCTGGGAGGTTCCCCAAACCCAGCAGACATCCAACGCGTCGTCCCCTCGCCCTTCTGCTCCATGAGCGTCCGTGACCACGCGGCTCTTGCTCCCGGAATTGCAGCCGTGACATGGCGCAGGACCGGCAGAGCTCCAGGATGGCTCGCAGCACCCCAAGCCCGCATCCCACCCTTGAACGGTCCCTCAAAGAGGGAGAGGAGCTCCGTGATGGCAGCCAGCTGTATCTCTCCTGAACTAGTCAAAGGCAGAGAACAAGTCTCGGACAGCAACTCCCAGGAGCATGTCAGGCACCCGCTGCTTGCAGCCACCCCTCTGAAGACCTAAAAAGCCCCAGTCTCTCCCCAAGTGCTTCAGCGGCCTCTGACGCTGCCCCTCGGGGAGCTGGGTCAGCCTTGCCCAGGTTTCTCCATCTCCAGCAGCTACTTCAGAGCCTGGAGCTGAGGTGGATCCTGCAATCCACCCTGCACCGCAGCCAGCCCCTGCCCGAGGAGAAGTCATAGAATCATAGAATGGTTTGGGTTGGAAGGGACCTTAAAGATCATCTGGTTCCAATCCCCCTGCCATGAGCAGGCACATCTTCCACCAGCCCAGGCTGCCCAGAGCTCCATCCAGCCTGGCCTTGAACACTGCCAGGGAGGGGGCAGCCACAGCTTCTCTGGGCAACCTGGGCCAGGGCCTCACCACCCTCATGGTGAAGAATTTATTCCCAATATCTAATCTAAATCTGCCCTCTTTTAGTTTACAGCCATTCCCCCTTGTCCGATCACTACACATCCTTGTGAAAAGTCTCTCTCCATCCTTCCTGTAGGACCCTTCAGGTACTGAAAGGCTGCTCTAAGGTCACCCCGGAGCCTTCTCTTTTCCAGGCTGAACAGCCCCAACTCCCTCAGCCTGTCCTCGTAGGAGAGGTGCTCCAGCCCTCGGATCATCTTCGTGGCCCTCCTCTGGAATAGCTCCAACACACCCACGTCCTTCTTGTGTTGGGGGCTCCAGAGCTGGACGCAGGACTCCAGGTGGGGTCTGACGAGAGCAGAGTAAAGGGGCAGAATCCCCTCCCTCACCCTGCTGGCCATGCTGCTCTTGATGCAGCCCAGGGTACGGTT